GACGCAGGGCTTCGCCTAAGCACCGCTACGATATGACCGAGGTGGATTATGGTGGAGGGGGGCACCGCACACGGCTAAGAGATCCAAGGGATCAATTGTTGTGTCTATGGGGTGCCCCCTCGCCACGTATATAAAGGAGTGGAGGAGGGGAGGGGCCGGTCCTCTCTATGGCAAGTCCTAGGGGAGTCCTACTCCCATCGGGAGTAGGATTTCCCCTTTCCTAGTAGAACCAGGATCCCTTCCAAGTAGTAGGAGTAGGAGAGAAGGAAAGGGAAGGGAAAAGGAGAAGGAAGGAAGGGGGCGCCCCCCTCCCTAGTCCAATTCGGACCAGCCCATGGGGAGGGGTGCGGCCACCCTTTGAGGCCTTTTTCTCCTTTCCCGTATGGCCCATTAAGGCCCAATACGCAGTGGCGGTGCCAGGATCAAAACCATGTGATGTCAAGCTTCATTAATAAAAAAATTAGATCATAAACATGAATAAAATATCGTACTTTATTACAAACCAACTATGGCAGTAGTTCTTTGCGACGATGCATACATTGATACGTATGCATAATAGCATCAGTACTAATAGACTGGAATACATCAGTTTCAACATAAGTTATGAGACAGTGGTACAAGAAATCATCGCCTATTCTATTACGCAAATCAGACTTGATATATTTCATTGCGGAAAATGCTCTCTCAACTGTTGCCGTCGCCACTGGCAAGATCAATGCTAGCTTTACCAAAAGAAATACTAGAGGAAAGGTATTGTACTTCTTTGTCTCAACGAGTTTTCTGCAAAGATCACTAACCCCTTTCAAATTGGAGAGTCTTGAATCATCACGAACATTTTCAAGGAAGTTATCAAGTTGGACACTAAGATCTTCAATCTTGCTTTCACTCCCAAAATCATCTGGATACAAACGAGCCATTGATAACACTTTTTCTTTGTCAAAATTAGCAAACGAATCAGAAGGATCCAAAGAAGCCATCCCAAGAAGCAAGGTTGTGCTGCTTTCACTAAAGCGGTCATCAATCTCTACACATAATATATCAATAACAACATACATCACACTTTGGTAGTAATTCTTATTTGATATGCCATCAGTTTGAGCCTTACGCTTTGATTTCGATCCTCGGGGTATATGCATAGCATCCATATCAGAAAGTTCAATATCTTGCTCAATGCAAAAATCAGTAACCTTTTTAATCATACCTTCCCAACCTTGGTTTCTCATGTCCTGTAGCGTTCTTTTGGTTGTGTGAAGATATGACATGGCATTCACAATGTCCTGATCCTTCCTTTGCAAAGCAACGCTTAGATCATTAGTAATCCCAAGTATAGCCTTCATCAAGTGCATCATGAAAACAAAGTCAAATGTTTGAATAGCATCCAGAACACCTTTTGCTTTAATCCTATCGAGAGCTTTGCTGGCGTTTTGTGCATTATCATCAACAACTTCAATTACCGAGGGGAACATAACAATCATATTCAAGAGAGAGCTGAAATGAGACCCCCAACGAGTATCCCGAGCTCGTTTAAGTCCAAGTTCTTGATTCAAACCTCTACTAGTTTCAAGTTATCCATTCTGCAGTGCCGTCTGGACTCTTTTTGCTTGTTTCTCTCTAAGCATACCTTTGTTCTTAAAAGAATTTCCCACTGTGGAGAGAAGAACACTCATCCACTCAAAAAGCCACACCACATCTTCATGGTTTTTTGCAACTGCAACTAGTGTCAGTTGAAGTTGATGAGCAAAACAATGGATGCTATGAGCAGTCCTAGAATCTTCCATTACTAAAGTTTTCAAACCATTCAAATGCCCTTGCATATTACTAGCTCCATCATAGCCTTGGCCACAAATTCGAGAAGGGCTAATGTTATGTTTTTTAAGCACTGCATAAATAGCTTGTTGGAGAGCAAGAGAAGTTGTTTGAGTAACATGAGAAAGGCCAATAACACGCTCCACTGAAAACCCCCTTTTGTCAACATATCTTATAGCAAGAGCCATTTGTTCCTTGTGAGATACATCATGAGATTCATCAACCAATATAGCAAAGCATTCATCTCCCAGATCTTCTATGATTGCTTTCACTATTTCTATAGCACAAGCTTTCACAATATCTTTATGGATAGTAGAAGAAACCAACTTTAAATTCTGAGGAGCATTCTTCAAAGCAACAGCAGCCACATCAGGACAACGTGCAACATACCAATCATAAAAAGTTAGAAAATTTCCCTTCCTCGAAGAAGACTCGCTTTCATCATGACCTCGAAATGGCAAGCCCAAAACAAGAAGCAACCTTGCAATATCTAATGACGCAATTAGCCGAGTTTGGTACTCTATATTGGATTTCTTTGTTTTCTTGTGAAAGACAACTCCAATGGATTGCTTCTGGTTCATTAGATCATCACATCTTTTCATGTTCTGATTATGAGTACTTGAAGGACCCCCAACATGAATATCCAATCTCTTTATATTATTCCAACTTTTCCACCCCTTTGTTGAAAATACGTCTCCACCACCATGGCCTAGACTTTCATTCTGAAACAAATAGCAACAAAGACAAAATGCTGCATTTTCCTTTGTACTGTACTCCAACCAAGACTTGTGATCCTTGAACCACTCTTCATTAAAACGACGTTTGAAATCTGTTTGAAGGAAAGCATGTCCTGTTGGTTGGAACGGGCCTCTCAGGAGGTATGCTCTTCGCACATCATCACGTACTTTGGCACTGTACTGGAAAATTGGTATGCGATTCGCAGGATCTGGCGGAAGATTGGATGTATCAATTTCCTCTTTTTCTTTAGCTGGGCGCGGCCTTGCATTGCTATTAATTAACACATGTTCCAAAGCAGCTCGAGCATCAATGGGAGTCTGTTCTTGCTCATTCGCAGGTGATTGCTGCTGTGTGGTATTTGCAACATTTGAGTTGGACTGCCACTTCTTCACAAATTTATCCATTTATCAAACCAATGACCTGACAAAATAAATCTACTGCTTAGAAAAGGAAAATATGCAATTCTTATTCTTAATAAAAATAATCTCCTACATCCTAAATCTTAATATTGCTAGTGCCTAGTGAGAGAAAAACTGGAAAATAATGAACTGTAGAAGTAGAAAAGTGGAGGGCCTTGCCTTGTGTAGTTGTGTTGGATCAGATACAGACTAGTACAGTAATATTGATCGATTGATTCAGAGTTTCAGACCGACAAATCTTGTGCAGCCGCGGGTGCGCCGCTCGCGGCTCGCCGGACGGCCCAACGTGGTCATTCCTCATGTCTCACGTCTACAGTCCAGCCAAAGATCACCGACGCACTGCCGACGCCGGTCGCCGGAGCAGCAAGTCTGAAGGCGATGTGCTGCGGCGGCCGTCCACGGTCATTGGAGAGGCATGCATGAAGGAGCCAACGAGATCACGTAATTTGAGGATCAACTAGTGCGATCAGTTAGGGATTTTGGATTTCTTCTTGCGATATGGCCCAGTAGTGGCCCAACTAATTGTTACACAAGCAGAAAAATAAAAGAATAGATGGGCATGTGTAGTTAAATATTGCTGGTTGCCTGGTTCAACGACGTAGTATACAGATGTGGGGGTCGATGTCGTACGAGAAACCTGTGTAGTCAAGCGACTACACAGTTATAGCGTGGCTTCGCCACTGCCAATACGAATTCCCGTAACTCTCCGGTACTTCTGAAAATACCCGAATCACTCGAAACCTTTCCAATGTCTGAATATAGTCGTCCAATATATCGATCTTTACGTCTCGACCATTTCGAGACTCCTCGTCATGTCCCGATCTCATCCGGGACTCCGAACTCCTTCGGTACATCAAAACACATAAACTCATAATATAACCGTTATCGAACTTTAAGCGTCCAGACCCTACGGGTTCGAGAACTATGTAGACATGACTGAGACACGTCTCCGGTCAATAACCAATAGCGGAACCTGGATGCTCATATTGGCTCCTACATATTCTATGAAGATCTTTATCGGTCAAACCGCATAACAACATACGTTGTTCCCTTTTTCATCGTTATGTTACTTGCCCGAGATTCGATCGTCGGTATCTCAATACCTAATTCAATCTCGTTACCGGCAAGTCTCTTTACTCGTTCCGTAATACATCATCCCACAACTAACTCATTAGTTGCAATGCTTGCAAGGCTTATAGTGATGTGCATTACCGAGTGGGCCCAGAGATACCTCTCCGACAATCAGAGTGACAAATCCTAATCTCTAAATACGCCAACCCAACAAGTACCTTCGGAGACACCTGTAGAGCACCTTTATAATCACCCAGTTACGTTGTGACGTTTGGTAGCACACAAAGTGTTCCTCCGGTAAACGGGAGTTGCATAATCTCATAGTCATAGGAACATGTATAAGTCATGAAGAAAGCAATAGCAACAAACTAAACGATCAAGTGCTAAGCTAACAGAATGGGTCAAGTCAATCACATCATTCTCCTAATGATGTGATCCCGTTAATCAAATGACAACTCATGTCTATGGTTAGGAAACATAACCATCTTTGATCAACGAGCTAGTCAAGTAGAGGCATACTAGTGACACTCAGTTTGTCTATGTATTCACACATGTATTGTGTTTCCGGTTAATACAATTCTAGCATGAATAATAGATATTTATCATGATATAAGGAAATAAATAATAACTTTATTATTGCCTCTAGGGCATATTTCCTTCAGTCATACTTCGGCACGTGCCCGTGCACCTTCCCAGGACAACCTGTTTCAACACACTTCACAGTATAGTTTGTTGGACTTGATATGTGTGTCCAGAAAACCCTCTGCGCAGACATAGCCCACTTTATCACCGCATACTTAATTTTTTTCTTTGTATCAAACATAGCCCCTATCTGTACTTGGTTCAGATTATACTTCCATGAAGTCTCCTGGCCATCTTGACCGTAAGGCCGGTGGATATGTCCTGCTCCCATGCAGAAGGAATCAGTACCTTCACTTCATCCTCAGAATTTTCAGAATCCAGTTCCTACACTAATCCATCCTCGTCCTCTTCCTCCATCACCCTCTGCATTTCATCCCCTTCCTCATCCCCATCAGCAAAACCAGAACCAGCTAATATTATCGATCGGCTACTCTGCCCAGTATCAGGACCACAAACATTGTGTGGCACGTTGTCCGACTCTTTCTCGGGTTGGCTAGCATCCACATCTTGTGGTTGTGACCCGGATAAAACAATCTCGTTAGCCACTTCACTGCCTTGGCCGGGTTCATGCCTCCTGTGGAGTTGTACAGTATTCTCCTCCTTCGGCACAGGTTGCATAAGTGCATATGGGTGGATCCTTCGGTCTCGGCAGCGTCTTAACAGGGACAACCAATGTTGGCTCCTATCTATCGGCATCAACTCCCAATTGACATTTTTACAAGATTTGGTCCACAATGCATGAATACTGACGGAACATACTTCAGGATCCAGCCCGAAACTAGTTGTCAACCAATACTTCAACTGTCTAATGTCCAGTCTGTCCGGGTCTGCTAGTGTCGTGACGCCATTTTTAAACTCGCTAAGATCAACCCCCAACTCATTATATCGAACATTACCAGCGCCGTAGTAAACATTCAGATTTACTGATTCAGACATTTTCACCTACCAGACATTGTCATCTTCTCATTAATCACAACGAACACTAATATCACCCGTTACACTAACTATGCACTAAAATGCCTCCACAAATATATTAACACTACATTTCGCAATATGACCTATCTAAACTAATTAAAATATACAATTCAGAGAAAATTTGTGACGGCATAGTTATACCTTCGAAGCGTGTGTCCCTAGCTCCTTGCTCCTCTCTTTCACTCAGTGGCACCGGCCACCTCGCGGAGTACTTGCACCACCGGACAACGGCAGCGCCGCCCCCTCGACGACCGGAGGCTCAACTCTGGTCACCCCCCAAGCCGCACCTCCTCCTCCACAGCTGCTGCTCCTCCTCACCACCACCTCCTTCCCAACCGCACCTCCTCCACCCCACCATGGCTCCTCCCTCCCAAACACAGAAAAAACTATCCCATACCAAAAAATACACCATAGGCCGTTGGAGAATGCTATGATCTATCTATTCAGTGTCTTGGATGTGAAAATGGGTGCAAACTGGAGGAGATCGGTGCGGGCTTGTGAGGTTACAGAGAAGAGAGAGAGAGAGAGAGAGAGAGAGAGAGAGGAGGAGGAAACAGAGTGCGAGCAGTCCAGAGGAAGGAGACGACCGCATGAGCCTTATCCCGACCTCTTCGGTCAACCCCTGGCTGAAAAGCACTTCGGCCGCTCGCTGGCCGAAAAGAGCCCACTTCGGTCACGCGTGGGCCGAAGCTATGATTTTCGGCCGGCCCACCACCGAACGCCACCTCTTCGGCCCAGGTGAGCCCTACTTCGGCCAAACCCGGGCCGAAAACACCCTCTTCGGCCAACGCGAGGCCGACGGGGTCATAGTTTTGATTATTTTTGCGTTAATTGCTATAGTTTCCGAATTTGATTTTTTCATTGGTGTAGAGCCTGTCTTTGTGCGCTAGCCATAGGAACAACCGACACTTGTTTGGGGCATAGTTATTCTAGATTGCAGGCGCCATCGGATCCACCGATCGGTCCATCCATATTGCCCCATATGCGAAGGACGTGGTCAGAGGTTTACCTTCGAGCCTGCTGATTCTCCGGTCAGGTACCTGTTCATTCAAGGAAAACATGGCGAGGATAGAGCGGATAGATTCGAGGTCTCTCTCTGCAGCATGCGAGAGTCGTGGGGCGAGGTAGGTGTTTAGTTGTGGGTGGGCTAGAACAGCTGCAAGGGAAGCGTTCGGTCTAAGAGTATGGGAAAAAATGGCCGGGAACTGAACTGCTAGAGTGGTGGTGTGGTTAGGGATCCATAAGTCTAGCCAGAATGTTGTGGAACGACCATCGCCAGGGATTACCCTGGTGATAGCACGGAGCAGAGGAAGACCCTTTGCCATGTCGCGCCGGATAACAGTATTAAGACGCGTTGGGTCGCCAAGGTCACGGTGGTGGCTCCATCCGGAGGTGGAGGCCAGGTGGTTTGGCTCGGAGGTTATGCAGTGTGAGTGAATTTTGAGCAGTTGTTTGAGGAGAAGACACCGGTTGAATTGATGCAACGACAGAAACCCAAGACCCCCACGAGAGAAGGGAGCACAGACCGCATCCCACGCAACTTTACACTGACCCCCAGAGATCGTATCCTGTCCTGCCCAGAAGAAAGCCCGACGGCGACCATCGATGGCCTGGATTGTACCTAAAGGAAGCAGAAGAGCAGACATTGCATAGAGTGGGAGGGCATGAAGGACCGCCCGCACTAGGATGGCCCTGCCGGCTAAGGATAGGAGCAGGCCCCGCCAACCAGCGAGTCTCGGATCCACTTTCTGTTGCACTCATTCTCTTTTATTCTATCAATGAAAGATAGGCAAGTTTTGCGATTCGACAAAAAGAAGTCTCTTGTAAGATAATAAATCAGGCTCTGATTAAAAAATCTATATACAAACAGCATCATTTTTGCCGGTCAAATACAGGATTACACCAATTTCTTCTTTTTCCTCTCCTATACCAAGACTGCATGTGTATGGCTGGATTCTCCGGACCACGCACAAAAAGAAACCAAACATTTCGCGTCAATGGCGCGCCGGCGATGGATGATCTCTCCGGGATCAGTCTCTCCCGCCGGCCGTATACCCTCTCTCAAACTATCACCTGCAAACAGCAAAGAGCACAGCAAAAAGAATTTGATCTCCCTCTCACGGCCCGACGATCTTCACTCGCACCTTCTTGGCGTGCATCTCGGCGAACTCGGTCTCCGATACCTCCGAGTTGGACGGCGACGTGAGGTGCCTCACCGAGTGGCGGTCGTCGCCGGCGTGGCGCGACCCTGCGACGCCGCCGCACGCCGCCGAGGCGAGCACGAGCAGTGCCATGGCCGTCGACAGGGCGGCGAGCGCGGCCCACGTCGCCCGCGCGCCGCGCCGCAGCGGCGCGCACTGGTTGCCCACGATGTCCGCGAAGCCGGCCTTCACCAGCTCGCAGCTCACCAGCCGCTCCGTGCCCGGGAAGATGTCCAGCACGTTCTGGATGGAGCTCGTGTACGTCTGCACCTTGTCGTAGTCGATCGCCGACGAGAGCTCGGCCGGCGCGCAGTTGGCGCCACCGCCCAACTCCGAGCACGTCAGCCTCCTCAGGATCTTCACAACAACAACGTTCAAGATTAGATTTCCTCTCCAGATGCTTTGGTTCTTGGAAGCATTTGCTGCCGCGGAGCTGCTCGTTTGTTTACCTGAGGGATGTCACCAATGGTGGCTGCGCCGGAAGGGCAGTTCTCCGGCCGGTACCGGTACGCCGGCGGCGCGGCGAACGGGTTGCAGATGTAGTCCAGCTGCTTCACGGTGTACTCCGACTTGATGGCGTAAATGTTCGAATTCACCTGTCGAAACCAAGATTGATTCATAAACAATCTGGATGCATCATGCTAACTCTGTCTGCTCTGCTTCTGAACGCAGCTTCAGAGTTTCAAAATGTTACCTGGTCTATGATGTCATGTATGCCTGCACCAACATCGTGCAGGATGACGCTGCCGGACATCTTCTCGCTGCAGGGTATGATGGCGCCCAGCGTGCTGTTCTTGGGGTTCAGCTGGTACTCCTCGAGGGCCGCGCACGTGTCGCCGGCGAACTTGTCGAGGAAGTAGTACAGCCCGAAGTACATCCAGAAGAGGACTGTCAGTACCCAGCACAAGGCTATGCACCTGTTGCAAACAGATAACTGTCATCAGAATATGAACTAGAATTCTTCAGCTTATTATGGTGGATGTCTGAAGTGAATGATATTTACTCACATGTAGTACAACTTCTGTAGCCTCAGAGGTCTTCCCACTAGAATAAAAAAGCAATGTGTTAATTTTATTTTCAGGTAATATGTAATAGTAGAATTTATGCTCACTGAGAAACATTTCACCATGATCACTTACCTAGCAAGACAAGGACCACGACAAGATTCAGCGTCACGGTTAAAATGATGACAAGTTCTCTGAAAATTATCACCTGTATTAGTTCCCATGATAATTCTGAGGTTTCATGAGATTCAACAACTACTAATGTAGCAGTATCTATCATGCTTATCATGTAAAAATGTTCTTACAATGTGTTGATGCCTTTGCTGACCAAGCGCATGTTCTTTTCGGCCTTCGCCTGAATTTCCACGGCTTCAGAGTTCAGTGCCTTTACTGTGGAGTTCAGATGATCAAAGGATTGGCTACTAATGTTGTATAGCTTAGATATATTCTGCATCCTCTCAATGGCTCCTGTGATGTTGTAAATCGTTGCCGTTGCTTCAAGCGCTGTTCTCCCCACGATATCTTTGATGGACTCTGCTCTAGAATGAAATCGTACAGCGCCCTGAAGCGCGATTGCCGATGCAACTCTGCAAATAAAGCGTGGCAGTAGATGAGTCACAACGTTTCTACGAAGATTTTTGGTTTTGCAATGGTTGCATATCATGTGAGAATTTGATAGAACTACCGCCGAGCTGAAACTTACATGGCAAAAACTGCAAGAAGAATGATAAGCATGACAGACACAAGATGGCATCTGTCAAGAAAATCATCGATGGCACCGTCTCTTTCTCTTTCGTTACTTTTGGCGAAGAAAATCTTCGAGGCAAGAAGGAAGCCCGCAAAAATGATGCCACCAATAAGCCATAATGCACCAATGATGTATCCAGATCTACCTGTAAATACGGTCGACTGAAAAAGTAAACACAAGGACAATCAGTTTTAATCCCGGATGGATGCATATGCTTTCCGCCTCTCATTTTATTCAGTTAATTTCATCTAACATAACATATATCAATGTGTAAGGTCATTTTTGCACATTAAAAAAGGCTAAATAGGTGTCTTGTATGCATTTATACCCTGATCATGAACATGGTATAGTGTAATATAAAAATGAATGAACATGATACTGCAAAAGCAGTCATTTCTACTCCCTCCGTTCCAAATTACTCGTCGTGGTTGAACTAAAACCACGACGAGTAATTTGGAACGGAGGGAGTATTATTCAGAAAGTAGTTCTTTTGTCAGCAAGTGTATGGCTCTTCAGATTGTATTCAGACAAAGAAGAAGAGAACTTACACTCCAGTAATGCTTGTCTGTGATGTTGAACCCTCCCTCATACTTCCTCAAGCCATCAAGAGGATCGATTCTTCTCGTTCTTCTCGAAAGGTCGCTATGCGACCGATTCGCCGTCTCCGACAACACCCTGCCCACTGATCAACACAGGCAACACGATCAATTACCTCACAGGAAAACATTTTTTTTCAACACATCAGAGGCACACTTAATTTGCATCTTCCTGGGAAGGTAAAACATTTTGAAGCTTTTTCATGAGGTGGTAGATGAGGATTATTCACTCACCTGCTCCATTGTGGGGCGAGCCTTCGGATTGTTGTCGTAGAGTGGGTTGGGCCTGAGCTCCCGCGTGCAGACAGCATGTGATGGCCGCACAGCAGCAGAGCAGAAACACTAACCGCTCCAGCCTCCTCGGTTCCATGTCAGCAAGCTGCCATGGGAAAAGCTCCAAGCGTTACCCTCCAATCTCAACCCGGACGTGCGAAGGTAGAAGAAGAAGAAGAAACCAAAAAGCATTCGATCAGAAGAAGAGACCAAAAGCAATGGATCCCAAGAAGATAGAACCCGACTAGATTTCTGCATGTGATTTGACAATCCGCAGATCAAACCTGGCAGTGAGTGCTTTCCATGTCATGTGAGAGGTCTCTAGTTTCTAGTCTGGCTAGGCATGTCAGCTTCTTCTCCCTCCACTGCCTAATTTCTGGTCCAGTCACGAGAATGTGCAGCACAGATATCTCATCTTCGGCCTGTACGCGTCAGTTTCTTGCTTTTGCCTAATTCTGGAGAAAATTGATTTCCTCGCCACATTTTCAACGCCCGTGTGTGTGTGCCTATTAATTACCGTTTCTGAGTCAGACGAAATTGTGTAGGCTTTGGACATGCCATTAATTCGAGTACGATTACTGCACCGTTCTTCTAGATAACGATGGATCCTGGTCTCGGAGATATGGCAATTTACATGCGAATATTGCAAATCAGAAATATCATCACGGTGTGTGATTACGAATTTACGATGCCAATCACGGTGCTCATTAAATTTTATACTATACTCAATTACCTAGTGAAAGTGAGAAAAAAAAACTAGCGAGAGAAAAGTGCATTGTGCAATAAACGCACCGGCGTCCTTGAATTTCTTCAGAGAAGCCAAAAATAAGCAAAGCAAAGGGATGATCACAAGTATTAATTCAGAGTCTTTTATCGTTTTCAAGTGGAACTCTTCATCCTCGATCGTGCTGCGATTCTTGATCATACATAGTAATCCTATGCTATGTAAACCCCTCTTGAATTTTCACACGAAACTGACCCAGGAAAGAACAGAGTAACTCCCACTTCAAGTAGGAAATACGGAATAGTAGTAGTAATATCAGAGAAGAAATTCGACTCACCGCCCAAGAACTCAAGAACAAGAGAGGAACTCAACTGGAATCCAATGGGAAATCAACGAGGAGAACAGAACAAAGATAATCATATCGTATATAAATACTTACCCCGACCGGAAACTTATCTTCCAGACGCGGCCTCCCTTGCAAGCATATCCTCCTGCTCGTCTTCTCACCACACCGAGAACTCGTGGAAGCCGAGAGACAAACAGACACGGCAGCACTTGCTCCAAACTAACACCTGCCCTGGGTCTCTCTCGCCATTAATGTCTTCCTCGCAGGACGTGGCCTCCCTCTCCCATCCGTCGCCCGATCCAAACCCGTCTCTCTCGGTGTCTCCCCGTCTCTGTCTCAGACAAGGCCGGCTCTGCGTGTGATGTCGGCCCTTTCCATGGCGGCAACGCGCACGGAGGAAGGCAAGTATTTTATACGGGATCAATCAATCAGAAAGGGTTTAAAGGTGGGACTCGCCATACTTTCCTTGGGCATAGAGGAAGGAGGTGATGGGTATGGCAGGCGCCGGAGCCAAGGAAGGAAGGAATTTCTGTGGGGCAGGGGCGAGAGGAAGATAGGTCGGTCGGTCGGCGAGGGGGAAGGGAGCAGAAGAGCTAGCGGCAACGTATAAAAGGGGTTTGAATTCGGGTCCGCGTAACAACTTTGGCCGGGTACTTGTTTTCCGTTTCCTTGTTTCTCTCCTTCCTTTCTGCTTCCTCCCTTCCTTCCTCCCAAGCCGTCTCCGTGTGTGTGTGTGAAAGCTGATGGGCGCCGGAGACGGGACAGAGGTTGTAGCTCTGCCGGGGTGGGGAGGTTTTGCGCGATTGACCTCGCCCTACCCGATATTGGAGCGAGGGACCCTTCCAAATGTGCTAGTGCAAAGCAAAAGGATTTTACTGCAAATCTGACGTCGTATTTTTAAGCATGGCAAATCTGCGTCCCGGGATGACAAATGATATTGTCACGAGGATGACAGTTTTCCTCAGCAGAAAATTGCCATGCTCGCGACAATCTCGAACGTCAGATTTGTTATGCTTAATGTAGGCGGGAAAATTTGTAATATAATAATCGTTGTATTGATGGGATGCTGGCGCACGTATATATAATACAAGGGAAGATCTCTACCTTAATTATACAAGACTAGAAGGTGGGTCACAACTTCAATACACGTG